CAGCAGCCTCTGCAGCAGCCTCCAATGCATTGCTGGGAGAAATGCTGGGGGAGATTGCTGTGATGCACCGCAAGCAGGTGGCTATGAATAAGCAGCAACTGGAAGAACTCCACACTGAGGCTGGGAGACAGACACAGCTGCTAGAGAATCTTCTCCCCGATCGGGGGCTCAATCACCATCTCTTCCATGTATCTTATTCTCCTCACCTACATAAAAACGGCGATGACCCCAGACCTTCTCTGGAGATGTTCGAGACGACAGCAAAGATATGTGGCTGGCCAGTGCCGGAGTGGGCCGTGCGCCTGCTTCCTCTACTGTCAGGGGAAGCCCAGACTGCGACCTGCCAGCTTCTTCTCTGGGAGACTTCCAAGACATCAAGAGAGCTATCCTTGATCATATGGGTTTCTCGCTTGGAGTGTGTGTGGTGTCACCGACCAGCAAATTTGGAGGCCACCATCACCCTAGCAGAGGAACATCTGGCTGTCCATAGCAGGAAACAGGTTCAAGAGGGTCGGCCCCCACATCTGCGGCGTGCCATCAGTACTGGCACCCCGCAGAAAATCTACACCCCCACCTACACCTAAACAAAACACATCCACTTTGCCTTCCCCTCTTCCTTGCTCTAACCTTCCATCTGTTTTCTCTCCATCTTAGGGTCCAGCCGCTACAGGCATTGCTCTCGACCCACAGATGGTCCCTCAGGCATCAGGGCAGGAGTGTTGGAGGTGTGGGCAGCCTGGTCACTTCCGCAGGGAGTGCCCCCTTATGGAAGTCGCTCAAGTGATCCAGGTTGCTGGCCCACTGACACCTTCACTCGCTTCAGGAGGGACAAGCTTTTTGTAAACACTCACTTGTGTGTGTATGAATACCCCTTCTGAAGGAATAGTTGGTGCTGGTGTGTAGTACGCCGTGCTGAGTGAGCTCATTGTGTTTACATATAAATGTGGGTGGAACAGTTTGTGAGAACCTATTGGTTCTGGTTGATCTAAAGAGGAGCTGAAGCATTAACACTTCACTGGAGATAAGGGGCCTAGCCCAAACCC